TTGATATAGAATCATTAATTACGTATACAAACCTTATAAAAAACGTATCATTTCCTTATTTCGATTTCTTATAGGGCCTGCCTAGCAAAAGCACCTTCGGGAAATTATTGGCATACTACTTCAGGCTAGTTAGATTGGTAGGAAGCCCTGGATTGGAAGCAATTAGATGTGCAATAGCCTGATATATATTCTGTGTCAAATTCTGTTAGTGAATTCTAGCCTGTCGCTGTTGCTTCATTTTGGCTTCATTTGATTTCACAATATGGATATTTGGATTAAGTGAAACGAATTAATCTACAACCTTTTCACTAATATTGCAACACCCCTTCAGATCAAGATATTTTAAAAAGTGACACGAATAAGTGATTTCTTCAATAGTCATATTGCTAATTTCACAAAAGTTAAGGTTAAGACGCTGGAGCTTTGGGTAGAAATGAATAATATTACAAATTGATGGTTCAGTAAATTCTGTGCAGTAAGAAATATTCAGATATTCTAATTTATGGCAGGATCCTGCAATTTTCGATAGACCTAGATCATATACTTCTTGAATACGATAGATCCTATAGTTTTCTGATTAATCATCACATAAATTAAGATACTTCAGATTCGGATATGAACCCGCTATCAGTTCTAATGCCCTATTACTAAATCCTATGCTATTTTCAAAACTCAAATGGATTATATTTGGGCATGAATGTACAATGCTTATGATTTTTTTTATCTGAAAATGAATGGTAGTATGAAATTTCAAGATGAGTTACATTTGAGCAATAAACTGGCATTTGCTTTCCATGTACTAGCTTTATGAATTTTTTCAATCGAAAAAGATCCTTTACACGTTCTATCCTTATGAATTTATTTAATCAAAAGCGATCCTTTACACAATTATAATCATTTGGAAGAGATTGCCCAGCATATAAGTCTTTTCCTCTCAATTTGATATGCTTTCATAAAATAGGAGCACTGCATCTGTATCACAATCGGCAAACAAATAGAGTGGGATAGAGGGATTTGTTTATCGCTAAAAAATGTAAAATCTGTTCTAATAGTTCTGATATAATAAAAATACTTGATTGCGCTTTTTTTCTCATATTTATTCGAAACAATATATAAAATATTCCATTTGTGAATTCAGATCAGAGAAATAAAAAGCATATTTGATTTATTATCCTGAAACCTTTGATTGAAAGTGTGGGCATTCGCTGCTCTAAACTGGCATTTATTAGGATAATACGTTTGGAGGATACCTGAATCTGATGTAAAGCCTGGGCCAAATTCTGATGAAAAATTCTGGCTTGTTGTCCAATTTCAACTCCGTTTGAATTTAAAGCATTAGCTAAAAGGGACCATGCTAAATTCTGATGGGCAGTATCAGCATGTCTAAGATAATCACTGAATGCGGTAATAAGACTAGGGTTTTTTAGATCATTGAAATTTTTGATATGGATATCTGAATTAAGCCGGGCTACAGCTTCTTTGCTAACATTATAACATCCCTTCAGATCAAGGTATTTTTAAATTAAGACATGATCTAGCAATTTCTTCGATAGTTATATTAGTAATTTCACAAAAGGTAAGGTTAAGATGCTGGAGGTCTGGACAAGAATGAATAATATTACAAATTGATATTTCGGTAAACTCAGTGCGGTGAGAAATATTTAGATATTCTAATTTATGGCATGACTGTGCAATTTTCCATAGACCTAGATACTCTACTTCTCGAACACAAAAGCTTATATAATCACCCGATTGATCATCGCATAAATTGAGATACTTCAGATTTGGATATAATCCTGCTATCAGTTCTAATACCCTATTACTAAATCCTATACTATTTTTGAAATCTAAATGAGTTATATTTGGACATGATTTCAAAATATCTATGATTTTTTCATCCCAAAGTGAATGGTAATATGAAATTTCAAGATGAGTTATATTCGAACTATAAACTGGCTTTTGCTTTTCATATACTAATTTTATGAATTTCTCCAATTGAGATTGACCCTTTTCACAATAATTATAATCATCTGGAAAACGTTGCCTAGGATATAAGTTATTTCCCTTTAACTCAACGTGTTTCCATAGAATAGATGCACCGCATCTATACCAAAATCGGCAAACATATAGAGTGGGATAAAGTGACTTATCTACTACTAAGAAATGTAAAATATGTTCTAGTAATTCCTGTATATTACAAATACTTGTATGCGCCATAAATAATATATGCTGTATCTTTAATCGAAAAAATAAATTAGCTGAGCCTGATGATCTTGGAGAGACTCCTGCTGGTAGATCACTACTCTAAACTGATCAGACAGATTTTTAATCCTAGACGTTTCACATAATCTGTGTAATATAATTTGAAAAAAGTGTCCTGCATAGTAATTGATAATAATGAATGTGTATCACATCCTAGCATTACCTGAACTACTTGAAGTTATCTTTGCATTTCTTAGTAGGAAAGACCTCTATAGGAGTTGTGCCAGAGTAAACCACCAATGGAATGTCATATCTATGCGTATTATTCAGAAAAAAAGAATAGCTGAATTTATTAGCATTCCCTGTATTCATGATAATATTCTCCTTCATGTATATAATGGTTCTCGTAATAATGTCGAATTTGATAAGTATCTTGATGTATGTAAATTATGGGAATGTAAACTTAGTTATTTGTACGTAAAAGATTTCCATCTTAATATAATTTGTGTTCATGATCAGTTTTTAAATTCTGCTCATAACATTACAAGAAGTCTCTTATTTTATAAAAAAAGACAGCTTATACACTATTTAAATAGAGTACCCAATTCTTTAAAATATGGTCCTGAACTCGTCAAGTATTATCAAGATATCTTATCCTAATATGATATTCGATGTGAATTTCTTAGACAGTCTAAAGCCTTCCGATCCCTTAACTATAAGTCAAGCATCCAGAATAAATTTCGTAAGATGAGCAGAGTCTTCAGGTCTATTAACTAATTATTCTTATTTTTTACTATATGCAATTTTTCTTCTGAATCTTTCCTTTGGGCTTAGCACTTCAGAATTTTTTCCAAATTCTTTGATGTTTAATCATGTTTACTATTTCATCAATATCAGAATCGGATGAACTGGATTCAGAAAAGCTAGTCTCAGAGGAACTGGATTCGGATGAGCTAGACTCAGAGAAACTACCCTCAGCGGATGACGAACTAGACTCAGATGAACTATTCTCAGATGAGCTTGATTCAGATGAACTAGTCTCAGATGAAGTAGACTTAAGCGGAATATTGGTTAAGGCTGTCAAATGCTTTTGGTCACTTTCTATTTTGATTATTTATTTGTTAAACTTAATATCTTTGATCAGAAAATATGCAAAGTGCCTGGCTCGGCTCACTTCAAACTACCAACTGCTTAATCTTTCTCGGTCGTGCCTTCCTTTGTTGCTTATAAGGAATCAGCATTTCCTTTCCATTTATTTCCACAATTGTCTTAGCTGAATCAAATTCTTCAGAAGACTCAGACGAAGAGGAGGAAGGATTATTCTTTATTAGGCTTTTTTCTCTAATCAGCAAGGGGACGATTTCTTGTATTAAGTCGACCATAGTGTCTGTATCTGCACAATCATCCAGAGCTTTTACATTTCTTTCTAACCTTTTTACCCTCCTTTCTAAAGTGTTATATTGGGAATGATAATCTTCCAATTGTTTCTTTAGCATCCTATTTTTACCGGAAAGTGCTTTATATGCTCCTGCGTTCTGCTTGTCTAGTCTGAACATCTGGGCTAATTTCTTCATATGTCTGATAACTTCCTGCTTGCTAGATATGTCAGATGAATGATTTTGATCAGTTACCATTTTTGCGATATATTCTATATGCGATATTTTGCCTTGAGCGAAAAAAAAATAAAATTAATAAATGATATCCTGGCCTTCTAACCCATATATGTGATTAGTTTCTATAAAGAGCTTGAATGGTTTTGCTTGATTGACCAGAACATTATCATTATATCAGCGGAATTAATCCATTTTTTCTTTTATCTCTGTCTGGTCTCTCTGGGGTAGTGTTTCGATCTGTAGGCACTCACTTTCCACTTCTTCATGTCTGTTCACAGATTGCTTGGGAACACTACTCTGGTATTCCTTTGAACAATTACAAGAAGGTGGGTCGTTCATTACGCTGTAACTTTCTACTGATTCATAATGACTTACTATTTGTCTGCAAGCCAATTTTCGTAAATATTGGTGATGAGAATCGTTTCTACTTCCATAGATCCTGCTAGCATGGTCTGTACCTATCTTTCTCAATTTACTCGAAGTAATCCCATGTTGATCTAAAGTGTGATTAATTGGATTTACATTAACTATACCGCTTTTGTTTTTTCGTAAGAAGGTGAATTTTTCTGATATTGCTTTTTGAATCCAAGTAAGCAAATCTTTTGCTCGTAGTGGATTTTTTTCCATTGAAATGAAAGGCCGAGGTTCCCCCACTCCTGTTTCTTCTTTGACTTTAGAGTAGCCAGTACAATACCAGAAATATTTAGGATTATACCAGGTCTTTTTAGGACCCCAAGTCTCGTTTAATGCTTCATAATTATCAATACAAAGACCGGTGACATCTGCTGGTCGCATGCATAACATTATCATTATATCAACCAGATCTTCCTTAGAAGATGATAAAGAGAAATCACATTTCTCGAGTCTTTCCTGAACTGGTTTTAAGAAGAAGTGTTCAGGCCAATCGATACCCTCAAATTTGTCAAGTACAAGTCATCATGCCTGAATTTCATTTGATTCAGTAGTAATATGAGGAATTTTGGTCACTTCTTTTTTGAAAGGATCAGCTTCACGATCCTGTAACTTTTTTCACAATAAAGTAAGCTGTGAACCTCCTGCGATTAGATTAGACGCAGAACTACCCAAATTATATAAAATTTGTTTTATTTTCTCAGACGGATAATCATTTTCTACAATTTCTTGGGCAATTTTATTAACAGTATCCCTGCCTTCTTCACGCTTTCCAGAAGGTCAGATAGGAATGAGAACTTCTACTTGTTCCTTAGTAAGTCCTAATTGTCAAAAATGCGTTTTGGCATTGGATCTTACCTTGCGATCATCCTTCAAACTTTTGTTAATTTCCTCTATATATTTAGCTAGTTCAGATGATGGAGTTTCAGAGGTCCAGTTATAGCGTTTCATGAAATCTGTAGTTACTTTTGTTATATTATTTTTACGACAGTATAGTCAAGTATATTAATATGTACTAATTTTATATTATGTACAAAAAAGTTCAATTCAAAAATTTTCCGCCAAATCTATACTTCTTTGGAAAGGAAAAATATCAGAGATAGCTCTTGACTAAATTAAAGAAGCGAAAAAAAATGATATAACTTATACTCTAAACTAGTATAACATATTTTTAAATATCCGTAATAAAAGTGAAGATGAAGTTTTAAGAATATTAATATCAAAATTACCTCGTATGGGTCGTTTTATCTGCCAATACATCAAGAGAGATGGTTCAATTTGTGGGAATGGTAGCATGAGTGAATTAGGATGTTCCAGACATTTTAATGTCTGTTCTAAAAAAATATGCACTATCTGTAATGAGGAAACATATGCCAAGACTGGAATCTGTAGCACACATAAAAGAATTTATAAAAATGCCTGACGTGAAGGTAAAAAGTTAAAATGGAATCAGACATGATCGAGCCACCTAGCTGAATAATAATCTGGTTAAAGTATTATTTTTCTTGTCTTATAGAGTCAAAGAGTTCCTGAATAACATTATCTGTTTTCAGCCTGTATGGTGGAAGCTCTGGAGCACCTTTATCTCTGAAACCAATACCATTATATGCATTATATGCATTATATGGCTGGCGATTAATTTGGTATGAATATTGCCTAACTTGTTGTCCTTTAGGCCCTATTCTTTTTTTATCACTTTCAACGGTATACCTACACCAATTGCTAGTGATTGCATTGATTGCTTTTACAACTGATTTAAGGTCTGGCTTTTCTTTTGCACGAGACTTAAAACCAAAGAGTAATAAAGATTGGTTTCAGATTTCTATAAATCTTTCACAAGATTGTGTAAACGCTTCTGATACTATACTACCAGAAAGAATACGCTTATAATCTATGCCGGTAAAACCTAGTATTTGAAAAAGTTCTTGTATAACTTTTCAATGATTAGCTGAATATGATTTGTGCAAGTCCTCCGCTACTGATTTCTCAGAATTATATCCAGCTTTATAATAGGTATCTTCCCATTGCGCAATATCTTTGGCCTCTAACCCTTTCATTGCACTTTTTTCATTATAGCCTTGCTTTCGAAAGTGAGATAATCACAAGAAATATTTCTGAGGTTTAGGCGGACTGAAATGTTTTACAAACTTTTTATTACAAAGATTATCCCAAATCTTATCGTTCATATCTTTACCATAAATATTTCACATATAGAAATGTTTGTGCCATAGTATCTGGGATAGAGCGCTCTTGGTCAAACTTAAGATTTTCAGCTTCTTCAGGATCAAGATTCCGGGAAGTAGCAACCGCATCAAAATCTGTTTCCTTAATAACTAGTGTTTCAACCCTAACCTCATTGCGGACTTTTTTGCGATTTCCTATAACTTCTCGGCTCTCATCCATTTTTATTAGTTGGAGAGAAGCACCAGTACTGGCTATAAGACTGCAAAGTTTCTCAATAAAATATCTTGCAAAAAGGCGTTTATGATGCTCAACTTCAATGAATGTTATTACAGCAGGAGATTCATCAATTTTATAAGAAATGGCGTTGCTATCCCATTCACAGTGACCCTTTATTGATGTAGGTAAATTATTAGGCCGAGCATTTGCTAGTTCTGCTCGAATATTTTCACAGCCTGGTGGACGAAAAAGTTCATTAGAATTTTTCTGATAGAATATGGAAACAATACGACGAGGACAGTCACGAATTCAATAAAGCATTTGTGCAAGAGCCTCAACATGAACTGGGGTGGCAATATTTGTAATAGCTATGACTATATCAAAGTGGCCTATAACCTCGAATGATATTCCCACCTCCACTGTATTTATATAAGCTATACAGTCAAGCTTGCTTCAAGCAACATTAATATCAAAAAAGTCTTTTTGTCGCTGTTTTTCATCTATATCTCCATAATATGCACAGGCTCTAACAGACGAATTATCAGGTTTAGATAACTTAGATGCTTTTTCTACTAACGCTTTAGCCATTACTGCTCTGGTAGATACAAATGCTACACGCTTACCTTGCCTTAAAAACTCATATTATATTTTCATGGCTTTGGCTCCACTATTCGGATCATAAAGAATTTCAACCATTTCACCCACATGAGGCTGGTATCTATTATCAATTATATGAATATCTTCACCACAATATGTCTTAAGGAATGCTAATGTTGATTTATTCGCAAAGGCATCTATTGCGACTACATGTCTTGCAGATCTTAAAACATCATGCAATGCATTCTCAGATTCTCATGTATTTGTACCGCTGGACATTTGGCGTATGATAGCATTAGCCTTATCAAGAATAGCTACAAAGGGATGGGCTGTGAATTCGACACGAAAAAGACTTTCAACCTGTACTATGATAATGTCTCACTCATTTATAGATAAGTCTCCTTGCATATTTTGGTAATTGCAAATTCGAAAGCTGGATGCTTTTAACAAGTCAAGTTTGGCTTTTGATTCATTACTGAAAGATTTTTGGTAAGAGATCCAGATAAAGCATGGTAAAGAAGAAATATCATGCACTTTATCTTTTAATGCTATAATAATTTCTCTCAACGTAGTAGTTTTCCATGTTGCTGGAGATGAACGAATTAGTGTGGTAGTTTTTTCAGAATTCAAGAAATCAGGATATGATTCAGGGACGTCTTTTAGCTTTTTAACATTAATAACTTTTCCTGGCAACTCTACAAGAAGATGTGGTTTTGCAATGGCATTGGCCAGTCTATCAACAATTTTTTGTTTAGTTATTTCTTTCGGCTTGATTATATCTGATACTCCCTTAAACACCAATCCTTTATGATCAGGTTTGTATTGTTTCTGCTGATAGTATCTAAGTACAAAGCATCCGCTTCTAATAAGAAAGCCATATAACTGATCTTTTTTGTGACGGATATTGCAAATGGGATATGCTTCCAATGACTGGGCTTAAAAGTTGACGAAACCCTTTCTAATATTGCCAACTTCAAGCCATTCATATTTTGCGGTAACCAAACCAGCTCCCTTACTTAAGGCGGTTTCATCTTCAATAGGTTGAAATTCATCATTTTCTAACTTTTCAGGAGAAAAGGTCTGTGGCCAGATTTCAGAAGCATCCCATTTAGGTTGAACTAAATAATTTTCCAACTTGCGATATCCTTGTTTAACTGAAGAAATTGCAGGTCTTTTAATTCTATCTTCCTTTGCTGATCCAAGGAGCCGAAGACTAAAACGTGATTTGTAAAGTCCTATGTCAATAAATTCTGAGTATGGTTTTTTAACCCTATTGGCAACTTTTTCTACAAAACCTTTAAGGTCTCTATAATCAATAAAATGAGTATGAGGATATACGATATGCTAACTGCATTTATCGACATTAGACGAACTGGCTAAAGTAAAGCATTTAAAGGTACAAGATGTTTTAAATCAGAGTATATAATATTGGCACAGGCGATTAAGATTCTGGATAATAAATCTTCACGAGTAATTTTATATTTATCTAAGAAAGAGAGTTCAGGATTCATGGAATCAGACTCTTGTCTCGCATCAATATCCAGAACCAGACGAAGAGGCAAATTCCCATCAATGCATTTGTAAGCATCAGGCAATCCATAAACTTCAGATGGATGATTAACTACTGTAAAACCCTTTCCTGATACTTGGATTATATATTTATCAAAAATCTCTTCAGGATGATAGACGCCTAGAAGAGAGATATCATTTTTATTATTAGACAGATATTGAAAATATACATGATCATTATAACCAGGCTCAAAATCAAGGTTGGCTAAACTAGAGAAAAGCCTGGTTACTTTATTTATTGTTTTAAGGCCAGGCCCAAGCTTTTTTTGCACAAGCATAATGCAATGTATGGAAATACTAAGTATAAAATTACATGTAAATTTCCCAAATCTTTAAAATAAAAGTTTTGAGCGAATATGTTTGCTAGTAAAACACTGGATCAGTGGTAGTACCCAGCGTTAAACCGAAAGAAAGTAATCGATGTGGTAGTATCCAAAAGTAATTAATGCAGTAATAACCCAAAGTAATCATACATAGGGATAGCCCAAAATAGCAACTATACAAGAAAGAGTTCTAGAAAGGCAGGAACGAAAACTAAGATATAAATTTGGTAATACTCAAAGGTAGAATTATATATAGGAAAAAAATAAGAAATTAAGCTTTTGGGTACTACAACCGATAGGCAAAAAAGAGATTGGAAAGGCAGAAAGACTCAGGAGAATATAAGAAAAAAGTGTATGAAAAATGTATAACCTGAACCAATTCGGCACTTCGTGCCTTATCCTCAGCAATCAAAAGGATTATAGAAGGCAGGATTGTGCATCTGGGTCACCAACTCGGCAATCAAATAAGTCATAAAAGGTAGGATTGCAAGAATAGCACAATATCGGCACTTCGCATATGCCTGACCGGCAATCAAAGAGTGAATAAATGGATTGCAACACATCTTCAGCAAATAAATGGATTGCAAATTCAGCACTTTGTGCCTCATCCGGCAATCAAGAAATGGTAATTGAGAGGAAAAATATAATAGATTGCAAGTTCAGCACTTCATGCCTCAACCCGGCAATCAAATGGGAATATAAAGTAGGATTGCAAGCAAATTCAGCACTAATTTCTGGCAATTACTAGGTCAATCTTAGTACTTCTGATCCTCCAATCAGTCTTTCGAAAGTTGCGAGAAAGTGACGGGAAAGTGCCTAGAATTGGCAAGGAACTGAATCACATGATTAACACAATAGGCGCAGTAAATATTCACTTAATTTCAGCCAACACTATTCTATGATTTCGACTAGATCTTTGGATATAATAACTTGGCATCTAAAAAGTGATCTGAAACTGGCGAACTAATAGAACATCTCTGGCTTTCTGCAAGTTCCATGAGAGTTCCCCACCAGTTCCATAACAGCTCTATAGTAATTCCAGGATACTACCAAGTCACCATCATGGTGTCAAGCTGGATTCTCAAATCATGTGTTCTAAAGATCAGCCAGAATTATAGCATAATGTTAGCCGAAATTAATCACAGATCTACTGCGCCACCTGACATGATTTTTTTTATCACAATTTGGCATTTTAACAGGTAACCAAATAGGCACACAGTTCATTCATATTACTAACCAACAGGTCATAATATATAAATCACATTATAACATCCTAGGACATATTAATTAATAAACTATAATATTCCAGGACATATTAATTAATAAACTATAATGTCCTAAGACATATTAGTCTGGAACAAGTAGTATGTTCTAAGACATATTAATATATTAATATATTAATATGTCTTAGGACACACTACTCCTTTTTTATACATAATTTATCTATTTTTAGTAATAATTTATGCACATTTTATGTTGTGTAATATGTGCACAAATAATTAATGTGCATATGTGCACATTGTGCATATAGATTTTACACACTAACTGAAATAATGTTATATCATATGATTTTTCATATATAAAAAATCTAAAAATAACAAAAAATGTATGACCTTAATCAATATCACACCTTTTTCATAAAATAACTAACAATCGATTTTTGTGATTAGACAGATCCAATAAGCTAACTATCATTAATTTTAGATCAGCCAATTTTGAGATAATAGCGATTGTATTTTAAAATCTGAACTTCTTTATTTAAAGTAAAATTATTAAATTATAATTTTAGCTGATAATTTAATTACAATTATTTTGATATTGGCTGATCAGAAATCAATATAATATAGCTCATTGGATCCATCTAGTTTCAAAAAATTGATTGATATTATTTAATGAGAAATGGAATGATATTGATCAAGATTATATATTTTTTTGTTTTTTAGATTTTTTTTATATAAAAAATCATATGATATAATATCATTTTGATTATTTCGACTTTTAAATCTTCTCAAATTTGAAATGTTTCAACCATTTTGACTATTTCAGATAGTTGAAATTATTTATTTTAACTTTATGTATAATGGAAATATAATGTATAATAGTACTTTTCATTTATTTTTTCTGATAAGCTTTTATTGTTAATAGCTATGAATGTAATTTCTTTACTATTAGATAAAATATCATTAAGAATTACTATTAATTTTTCATCATTTTACACAACTATATTATTGTAGTTTGAAATACTACCTAAGTAGTTTTCACTAGAATAGTAAATTACTCAGACATTTATTTTATTTTATTTAGTCTCTAGATAAAAAAGGTTGTGTTAAAAAAGTTTAAAAGCTCTGCTTAGATCATGATAAATATGGTAGCTTGTTAGTAGAAAAGGAGGAAATCTAAAAAAATTAAATTTTACTTTATATATTAAATATATTTTTTTTAGTAAAATAATTTTAAATTTAACTTTAACTTGTAAAAACTTTTTTTTAGATTGCTCTCTTTTTATTGACAAGCTCTCATATTACAAATATACAGTTTGAAAGAAAATATATATTTTGAAAGAAAAAAGGTTAAAATAAAAATCAATTCTAAAATATAAAAATCAATTCATAACTAACTATTCATAATTATCAAAATGTTATTTTATTAATATTTTTAAGACAAGTAAAGTTTGTAATTGGTGATGTTATCATTTAGAAAGATACTAAATATATTGGGCTTCTTTTAGATATATATTTTGTAATAAATACAATAAATTAAACTTTTTAAAATATGATACTTGTGATATTTACATTAAAAAGTATTATTATCATATAATTTTTACAAATAACAATGGTAGACAAGGCATTCGAATGGTTATTTTTTATTGGTAGCTTACTGGGTTAATTAAAATAATTGTAATAATATGTATATTTTTAAGTAAAAAAATACTTTATAAATCATAAATTATGTAGCAATTAATCATTATATTTCTAATATTACATATGTAAAATAAGTTTATTAAAGATAAAATATGTA